CTATAAAATGAATAATTCCTATTATTAGACTGAGAGAAATGAGAATACAATTAAAAGCACATACAATATTTGTTTCAGTGATAGTTCTCTGTTCCAAAACTAAACCAGCAAGTACCAAAATCATCATTCAAGATTAGACTGGACAACAAACTCTCATTTCAGCATTACAGTCCTTAAGTAGATGAATGCTGCTCCAGAAAACATTTGAAAATATTTTGAGGGCCCACAGTAACTATCAGATATTACAGATCAATGCTTAAAAACTACCTACACACTTTTCTAAAGTACTTTCATTCTTTTAAAGCTAAATCACTCCTACAACTCTTCCCAATCTTGTAAATATATTCATTTGACATACTAGAGACTATGAAAAATGGAGACATTTTGATAGCTCAAAGAAAATTATCAATGAGGCAATTCTGAAATTGACTGCCTTGTAAAACCAAGAAAGCTGGCAGGAAAGCACAAAAACAATTATTTAATTCCTAACTATATTTCTATCAGATATTTCATACTGTCACATGCTTGGACTATTATATGAAAAATTAGACTGTAGTTATTTTAAGTATAGTAAATATGTTCCAAGATGTGTGATGAGAGAGATCAGTGTCTAAAAGTTAACAAGACTTAATAGCTTAACAATGCTTTTCACTCTGTATAGTTACAAACCACCAAAGCCATTTAACAACAAATTAGCTGATCAATTTATTAAACTCTCAACCAAGCAACTGTTTTTTTCCTAAAGTTCAAGCTCACTGCATACTTTATGTTGTGTGGACAATCACAAGTTTCCAGTCATTTAATATTTTATTATTCTTTTATTTTTAGGGTAAGTCTTTTTCTTAAAGTTGTGTTTTTATATCATCTAATTATTTTCCAACAATTTATGCTCTATTAGAACTTGGATACTCTCAGAACTTCTATAAAAATCACACAGATTATTGGAAAGTCTACAAAAGAATCCCCCCTCTACTTTTAAAACATAAACTAGATGAGCTTTATTTGCTCTATTCTGACAAATATTTTATTTGAAGTTTGGTCACTACCCATTTCCTGTGTTGCGTTCAGTGTATCCTTTCTATGGTTACTTTTCTCAAACTAATAATGATGATCCTCTACCACACTACAAGAAAGCAGCCAAGCCTTGAATATCATCTGAGAATGCCCATAAATTATTTTAAATGGATACTGACATATGCCTTCTTTAACGCTTTTGTGTTTCAAGAACTTAGCATGACCACATTTTGGAAGAGCCAGAATGGCAGACTGACAGGTAAGAATGATTACCATTTTGAAAGCTCTGAATCAGTTTCAACTTCTAACACTTAGGAAGGGTCAACAGTTCCCTGTGGTCAAACTGCCCTTCAATGAGCAATTACAGAGCTCTATGTTAAAAACTTTCCCCTTCAATTTTAAGTTAAATGTAACTTAAGCTCTGTATGGACACAGAGAAAAAGAGCCAACTGCAAACAAGGGAGTAAAAGAATCAATTACAATGAATCCTATTTAATGACCCTAACCCCCAAGCAGAAAAGCTAAAAGTGATAAAATGCTCAGAGAACTGCTAGGCATCTTCCTAACATTAACCCATTAATTTTCACAACACTCATGAAGCAGATGTCAAGTACCTCTACTTTAACAGACTAAAGAGTTGTTAAGACTGAGGGACTCTCTCAAGGTCACAAAGTTAGAGATCGTTAGATTACACTAAACTCTAGGACTTTGTACTCTATGTTAAATCAAACAATGTTAGATCAAACTGAAAAATGGTACAATTACCTCATTCTATATATTGTTCTCTATCTGTACTGTCTGATAAGAGAGCCAATACCTTCATGTGGCTATTAAGCAGCTGAAATGTAGCTAGTCCAAACTGAGATATATGCTTTAAACGTAAAACACAAACTGGATTTTGAAGACTTAATATGAAAAGAATATAAAATAACCCAATTTTTTTTACATTGCTGATGTTATATTGGTATTTTGGATGTACTGGATTAAATAAAATTCACTGGACAGCAATGGCCCATCCTTTTTTAAAAGATTTTATTTATTTGAGAGAGAGAGACAGCAACAGAGAGAACTTGTGGGGAGGAGAGGGAGAAGAAGGCTCCCCACTGAGCAGAGAGCCTGACACAGGGCTCTATCCCAGGACCCTGGGATCATGACCTGAGCCGAAGGCAGACGCTAAACCGACTGAGCCACCCAGGCGCCCCAGGTCCATACTTCTTTACAAAAACCTCCCCATGAAACAGATGTCATCATTAAGACCTAAACCAAAAGCAGTATTTTCTTAGATTCTGTGGTAGCAAAACATAGTAACCATATTTTGAGGGGACGGTTAGGGGCATACTAAGTATTCTGAGGGACACAGCCATATATGTAATTAATAAATAAACAAAATAGGCCATTCTAGTGTTCTCTAAGGATGATGAAAGAAGTTGCTATCTCATTACAGGTGTATGTGACTGAATAAGTGAGGAGAAAGTACAATTTCCATTAGAGTCATGTCATTTCCTTAAATGAAAACATCCCTATTCTTTTTGTACACCAGGGTTACCAAAGTCATCAAGGATGCCCACAGGCACTATAAACGTCTCAAAAAAAAAATCTGGTTAGTGTGTATTTATAGTTATTTTTAAAAATCATTTATTATATTGTTCTAATGTGGTCATCACAATCTTATTTTGAGTAAACTAATAAGAAATTCACACTAAGAGGAAACATCAATTTACCAAAAGAAAAAGGGGGGGGGACCCCTTTAGAACAGTTTGGCAGTCCCAGAAAATGTTACACATAAAGTTACCATATGACCCACTAATTCCACTCCGCAGTATATAACCAAAGGGAAGTGAAAACATGTCCACACAAAAATGTGTACATAAATGTCCATAGTAGCATTGCGCATAATAGCTAAAGAGTGGAAACAATGCAAATGTCCATCAACTGATACATGGATAAACAAAATGTGGTATATCCATAGGCTGGAATATTATTCAGCATATTTTTCAGCCACAAAAAGGAATGAGGCACTGTTATATTTCTGTTACGTGTGTGAACCTTGAAAGCATTATGCTACCTAAAAGCAGTCACTCACAAAAGATCACACATTGTATAACTCCATTTATAGGAAATATCCAGAGTAGGCAAATCTAGACAGAGAGTAATGGGGAATAGAGATTGCTCATGAATTAGGATTTCTTTTCAGAGTGATAAAAAATTTTGAGATTGTGCTAATGGTTGCACAATTATGTGAAAACACCAAAAGCCACTTTAAGTAAGTGAATTGTATGGTATATGAATTACAGTTCAATGAAGCTGTTTTTAAAAAAAAAAATGCAGCCAGAAATGTAGGTGGGGGGAAAGGATTTGAAATTTTCAAGGATCTATCTAATTGCTATTTTTGGGGATTTTGTAATTTGTGTTTTTAAATTTTGTAATTCTTTTCATTCTAAATATTGATATTAGTAAAAATTTTCCTTCTTCACATCATTACACAACTAGGTAAATTTAATGAAAAAATCATAAATTGTACATTTAAAGTGATCGAACATTGATTTGAAATATGGCATATGAATTACCTCAATAAAAATGTTAAAATTTTTTCATTAAAAAAAGGAGCACAGGGTAATGTTTCACATTAACCTTAAAACAATCACAGAATTAAGAACCACAACCCCACATATTTAATAGATCCTCAAACTATGAAACCCACTAAAAACAACACTAATTACCTTAGAGATTGAATGACTTTGTGAAAAGCCCAAAAAATAGTTACTATCTCAGTCAAGCAAATGCTCAAAGTTCAGAAACAGGTGATGGAGATTTCAAGATTTTAGGATAAAAAAGGACAGAGGGCCAATATAAAAAATACTACTTGACCACTACTCTTTTAAAAGCTAAACTCCTGATTCAAATACAGGATCCAAGTACTTAAAAAACAAACAAACAAACCCGATTTACCTAGACTCTTAAAACTAAAGGGAAGAAATCTATCAAAATTCTGTGATTTGTGTGTGTATGTGTTTTACCCACACACCTCATGTAGCCTAACCACCTCGGGAAGAGCTGTATCGAAGATACTGAAGGTTTTTTTTTTCACCTTTTTAAAATAATAAAACGTGATGGTGCCATTCCACAGCCCACCCCATCCCCCACTACCACCACCAGCAGGTGGAGGGAAAGGATACTGTAGACTAGAGGATGACAGCTTTGTATAACCCTGTGGACTTTATATATAAGAATGCAGCTGGTGGTCTCTCAGGAGGGGATAAAGAGATTTGTGAGCAAGCTGAAATAAGGGGTATTCTTTGCCTGGAAGAGGGCACACCGTGAGCCACATCTTGAATCAGCTATATCCAGAGTAAAACACAGGCCGCTGGAAGGCACTGTTAGCATCACCAGGATGGCCTCTCACGCCGGGGGTGTTTTTTTCAACGGAGAAGTTGACTCCTGTAGTTTGGATATTGGGGGGAGGCAGGGGTAAAGCGGGAGTCGGGAAGACCAGAAAAAATGCCTTTAAGTGGAGACGACTCGGACCCAGCAGGGGAAGTTCCGAGCCCCACTCGGTCGCCACACACTCGTCCCCGCACCTCCCACCGCCCTCCTCGCGGCGCCAGACGTCGCGGCCCGGGGGAAAGTCGGAATCGCCGCCGCAGCCCGGCCGGGGCAGCGCGGCACACGCACGCCTCCTCCGCACTCGCCGCGCCCGGCCTCCCCGCCGCGCGGCCCAGCCCCTCGCACCCGCGCCGGGCCGGCTCCCCGGGGCAGGCCTAGGCCGCGTCGGCCGTACCCCAGCACCTCGCTCCCGGGCGGAGGTGGACCAGGCCCGACACAAACTTCCCGGCGCGTTCGCACAGGCGTCACGGACGGGCCGGCCCCCAGCGCCATTCCCCCGCGGCCCGGCGGCGGCACCCACCCCTACTCCCCACACTCGGGAGTCCCGGTGGAGATCGGCCCGAGGCCCACAGCCCCCACCCCTCCGGCGCCCCCGAGTTTACCTCCAAGTCGCGGCCTTTGTTCTTGAAATTCTTAAGCCGTTGGTTGTCCAGTTTCTCGTTGTCCGCCATGGCCGGGCCGGTGACTCCTTCCCCCGCCCGGGCCCCGCGGGATCCGCCCCAACCACCACGCCGCACCGACACTCCCAGGAACCGGGCCGCCGCCTGAGCTGCAATGCCCGCCGCGCCGCCGCTTCCTTCCTCCTCTCACCTGCCTCCGCCGCGGCCTACTCCTCCTCTCCCCGCCCGCCCCCCCCTGCCCTAACCCCAGCGCGACCGCAGCTCCGGCGAAGACAACTGCGGGGCCGGGCGGCGGCAACGGCGGCGGAATGTGCTGCCGGCTGAGAAGGGGGAGGCAGCCTCGATCTGAGGGCCCCGGAGCCGCGACCACGCCCATCACCGCCAGCCCAGTTCGCCGATTGGCCAACCAGGCTCCGGTGCGCTCGACCAATCAAAAAGGACGATGGAGAGCGGGGGCGGAAGAGAAAACGGAAAGGGGAAGAGAGCAGCGTTGGGAGGAAGGGCCGGAGGACTGGAAGGCTGGGAGGGGCGCGGCGGGGGCAGGGCGGGGAGCGACCACGTGCCTCCCGAGCGACGGGGAGGAAGCGAAAGAGAATTGGACAACTTGAGGGGAGGCGGGGAAGGGGGGAGAGGCCGGGGAACGAGTTGGTTTGCTCTTGTTGCCGCGCCGCCCCAGACCTCTGTGTTCCAGGATGGAAGCGGAGTTAAAGTATTTTTTTTTCTCCGGCGCGCCTTCTCTTCTAGGGCATTGCTTGCGCGCTCCGTTGGCTTTACAGGAAGTAGGAGCTGCACCTTGGCTCAGTCCGGGTCCGGGCACCCCCGCCCCCTCACCCCCAAGGTCCATTCCCAGGCTAGGGGTTCCCGCCGTTTGAGGGCCGGGCCGTGGGGTTTGGACCCGCAGGGGTGACGTGCGTTCGGGAGTCGCAGCGGAAAGCGAGAGGGACAGTGGGTGGAAAAGGGAAAGGACGCATTAGGCAAATCTGATTCATCCCTTCAGACCACGTCCCCGCAACAGGTAGGAACTTGGGAAGCGCTGATGATCCGGTGATGATATCGTCTTTTGGGTATTTCGTTTTAGAAAGTTAAAGAAGTTACTTGGCCACAAAGTACTAACTTCTGGAAGGCGGGGACTGTGGCACCTGACATAATAATGTAGTATTGTAACTGTTGAGAAAGAAAATGAATTCCCAAGGATATATATTTCTATCAGGAATATTATTACTAGACGCAGAAATAACAAGCTACGAAGGAACGTGTTCAAATATTTCAGAAAAAGGGGGAAGGAAATGGTTTTAAAAATATATTTATCAATTAATACCTCAAATATGCAGGGAAACGAAGTAGGCAGCAAAAAACTCAGATCGGAAGGAAAGGGGGCGGTATAGGAGCATTGGGTGTGTTTAAATTTGGCGAGGCATGGGGATTTCTTTCGGGAACTTTTACTCCTCGCCCGCCCCCTTCCCTCCCACTTCCTTGCTGATATATATACCTTCAAAATTCTCAGTACTTTGTATACTTTCAGCCGCCTAGGGAAACAAGCTGTACCTGGAAATAATTCACAGGTTAACTTGAGTGTAAGGTTAACTTGAGTGTAAATTCATTGCCAATCTTAAAATACAAATGAAGTTCATTCTAGATCCTATTCTCCAAAGAATAATTTAATTGAAGTAACACTGCACACTGCAGCACTGATGTTTTCAAAATAAGTTTAGGATAAGAAAATTCAGCTGAAAAGATGGGGAGTGTGTGTGTGTGTGTGTGTGTGTGTGTGTTCCACCATCATGGATTTTTGTTATGAACAGGATTCTAGAAAACAAATTACTGGTGAATTCCCACCCTATGATTAGAAGTTATCCTGTCAACATGCATGTATAGACGAGTATTTTGTACTTCTTGGTATAAATTCCGTGTTAGCTTTCATGATGAAGTTTATAAAATTGTCTATCATCCTATGTGATTATTTCTCCCAGCTACAACTGGTTGTCTTTGGTAGTTAAACAAAAACTTGAGTTTCTCTGCAGATTACCCCTAAGAGTAGGGTGTGATCATAGTTACCCAGAGAGAGATGCAGTACAAACAGGAAATAACCACAAAATGATTTAGTTTCTTTTATTATTATCATTTAATATCTTTCTAAGGTCTTTCTCCCTCTCTAGACAGTAAGTTCTCTGAAGTCAAGGAACACGCTTGTTTTGTTCTCTATCATGTATTCAGCACCTAGTAGTACTTTGCATATGGTATACACTTAGTGACTATTTGTCATAGAACCTGCATCTCAGCTTCTTTGAATATATGTTCCATAAGTTAAAAAACAAGCCAACACTTTTTGATTAAGAATGTAGATTAGGTTGTTACTGCTTTTAATTTACACTGGGTCCCTTCTAAGAATTCTTAATTTTGTATCATGCTTATTCCAGGGGCAAAGTTCAGGGAGTAGATCAGACATAGGCTTCAGGGCAGACCCCCCAATATGTTTAAAAATAGTTGTGACACGCTTTGCAAAGTGGAACAATTATCCTTAATTATAATGCTTAGGTAGTCTGTTTGCTGGCCTAAATTTTTCATTTGAAATTATTACTCCTGTTCTGTACTTCCGGTTCTTCCCAGATAAAACATATATCAGAAGGGTAAAGAAGTTCTTCCAGGAGTTGGTAATAGCTCTATATGCAGATTGGCAACCTAACTGGCAAGATATGGTAGCTCTAACTGTAGTTAGGAGATTTCAGAAATTGAACTTGCTGAACTAAGGAAGTAAATGGCAGCCATCAATACCATTTCAAAAGATTTTTTAACAAATGTTTTTTGTGTATATGAAATATAGTTATAATCAAAATATAAAACCTACATATGACACCTGTTTTCAAATAGGATATTCAAGGTTGGGTAACTTCATATCCTGACTTATTACTACTTTAGTATAAGAAAACTCTAAAATATGGAGATACTCGCTTTCAATGAATGTGTCATGAAATTCTCCTCTTGGTCACTTTTGGAATAAAGAAACTTTCTTTGTTTTGCAGCAGAGATTTGTGAAAGGATTTGTGAAGCTTTACACAGGTTTTAGTTGATCAAATGTAATTTCAAAAAGAATTATAATTGATAATTCATTCAAGCAGTTTGGAGTATTCTCATGATACATAAATTGAAGACTGTGGAGTGTTTCTTTAATCTATAATATGGATCTTATAGTTTCTGTTTGGGGAATTATGTATGATTTCTTGAGCAAACCTGGGTAGTATATGCTGAAACAGGAAGCAATTTTATATGTTGCTAAATCTTAACTAAAATGTAATTTGTGGGACGCCTGGCTGGCTCAGTTGGTTAAGTGTCTGCCTTCGGCTCAGGTCATGATCCCAGGGTCCTGGGATCGAGTCCCACATTAGGCTCCTTGCTCAGCAGAGAACCTGCTTCTCCCTCTTCCTGCCGTTCCCCCTGCTTATGCTGTCTCTCTGTATCTCTCTCTCTCTCTGACAAATAAATAAAATCTTTAAAAAAAAGTAATTTGTGTTTTTTATAGCTGGACTGGTTCGTTTTTTGAGAGAAAAACATTGGACCTTTGGTAGTACACCTTTATTTTCTTAGGAAAACATAGCCGGTCAGAATAGGGGGGCTTCATTTATTCCTCTTTATTGCCAGGACTTTTCTGACTTACAACTTGAGAACTCTGGAAAAAATTCTTTACTTTGACTGAAATTACTGAATGGTAAAAGATGATGAATTAAAAAGCTAGCTGTGGGTTTTAATTTGATTGAGAGAGATGAGCCACACAGTTTTTCTTTAACTTAGTTTTTTTTTTTTAAGCTCAGTTTTGACTAATTAATGGGAGAAAACTTGTAATTCATGGGTACAAATCATTGATGACTGGTTCATCTCTATTTGTATTGCTACCTGGCAGACATGCCTAGATTTTCTAAAGCTTTTTTTACTTGCTTTTTATTTGGGCATAAAATAATGTTTTTAATTTTTAAAACTACAGAAGGAACCATTTAAAAGCCAAATGATCAAGAAGATTGATCATGTGACTTAGAGCGGTTTCAAACAGAGAGTTCCTCAGAACCCCCCAGCGTTAGTAAATGTTTGTTTAAAAAAAAGGTTTTCTTGGTCTAACAATTTTAGGAACTTATAGGTGAGTGGTAGTGGGAACTTTAAGACATTAGTGTTAAGCAGAACACTATTTGGAAACTTGAAACCAGTGAGCCCACAATGATCACTATCATTCCTCAATTAAAAAATTTTGTGTTAATAGCATCAACTAAGGATAATGACTTACAAATTGGTAGTATTTCAGAAGTTTGCTTGGAGATTAGTTCTTTGAAATATGTCCATAGGAACATGGTCATGATTAGCGGGTAGGTGTTCAGGTTAGCCTACAAAGGCTTAGTTAATCTATAAAGGATTTACGTGAAAATCACAGAGCCTAATCACATTATGTGGCAGTATTTACATGCGGAAAATATTTGGATTTGCAGTTTTGACCAGGAAGAACACATCTCTTATCTTTACCTCTATGCACCAGGAACTGTGTTAGGTATTGAAGTTAAAAGGATTACGATGTTCCTTACATTAGAATTCCATGCATCAGACATTCTGCAAGTTCATACCTTACCTGGTGTTATGGGTGCCTGGCCTAGCCTCTTACCTGTCAGGCTCCCATGGTTTCCAGTAGCCTACACTAGTAAAGAGGAAGCTTAGGATTCCAGGACTGGTAAATAGGAACTGGGGGTGGATGAGGTAATAGGCCCAACCTCTTGCCCCAGTACTTCTCAGTTCAGGTAAGCTCCCTACTCCTACTTTTTTTTTTTACTTTTTATTTCTAAATAATTACAGATTCATAGAGTTTAAAGATGTATAAAGAGGCCCTACCTGCCCCTCACTCAGGCCCCTCCAATGGTAGCATCTTGTATAACTATAGTACACTATCCAAACCAGGAAATTGATATTAATATAATACATACAGCTTATTCAGAGAGGAGGGAAGACATTAGAATGTAAAGAATATATAAAAAGTATCGGGAGGGGCGCCTGGGTGGCTCAGATGGTTAAGCGTCTGCCTTCGGCTCAGGTCATGATCCCAGGGTCCTGGGATCGAGTCCCGCATCGGGCTCCCTGCTCCTTGGGAGCCTGCTTCTCCCTCTGCCTCTCTCTCTCTGTCTCTCTCTCTCATGAATAAATAAATAAAATCTTTAAAAAAAAAAAAGTATCGGGGGTGCCTATATACTGGAAC